ATGGACGCTGCTTAGGGAACGTTTAGATAAGAGGCAGTATAGCCCACAACTGGATAGTGGGCGGAGCAAGAGACTCAGAACAGACAGACCCTCCCTAATCTCGGGCTGTAAAGGAGATGGGGGGAGAACTGTACTTTGAGACTTGCAAAATTTTTAGCCTTACTAGGTAGAGCAGACAGGAACATGACCAGATGAACTAATTCATTAACTAATTACTTATTATTAATTATCATTAATAATTACAATATAATAATATAATATTGTATATTTGTATTGTATAAATTATCATTAATAATTACAATCATTAATACTTACTGTACTTGCAAACAATTGTCTAACACCGAATTATGTGCAACATGTATGGAAATAGCAGGTTTGTGATATTCAACCATAGGTACATCATGGAAGAAGTAGATGTGGAGAATATGAAATATGTCATTTTCAGATAAAAACTGAAGAACATAAACATAAATAGAGTCACCAGGTTCTTATTGACTCTTAACATTAGTGAATCAGTATATATCACAATATATAGTGAATAATATTATTATATTGTTATATTGAATAAAGTATTCTACTTTATTGTAAGGCTACGTTAACAGTATCCTGCAAGTCTGAAAGTACAGTTCTCCTTTTGTACAGTATACAAAATAATTAAAGAAAAATACAAAACAAAACAAAATACATACCACTAAAGCAAGCTAAAACAATTAAATGGGAATAAATATATCTACCAACTGGGATCTCTACTCATCCTGACCAAGTGGTAGGAGAGTCAGATCTTAAATACTTTTCTAAGGGCCTGCAGGGTCAGGGCCAATCATATATTGGGGGATCCCACAAAGTGACATAGTTTCACAGAAGGCTCATGGAGCTGAAATATGTGGGATTGGCAGATTAGAAGGCCCCACAAATAACCTGGTCCTATGCCATACAAGGCTTTATAAGATATAACCAATACCTTGAATTGCACCTGGAAGCCTATAAGGAGCCAGCACAACTGATGGACTAGAGGTGCTACATGGAAGTAATGGAAAGCACTCACTAGTACCATGCCACTGCATTCGGACTAATTGAAGCTTCTGAATGGTCTTCAAGGGCAGCCCCCTGTAGAGTGCAATGCCATAATTCAGTTGGCATAAGTGGCCATGAGCATGTACCCACAATCCAGGAGCAGGTAAAATTGGCACATAAGACAAAGCTGTGCAAAGGCACCCCAGGGTCCTAGCCACCACCTCCTGTCCAAGTAGGACATGATGGAATGATAGTAAGTTCCTTTACTAAAAGAACAGTTTAGTAAAGAAGAGAAGATGCAGTACTATCGTAAATTAACCAGTGAACTGAGAACATCAATCCTGGTTAAATGACTAATAAAATGATACTGTTGTTTTTTTGTGATATAATTTTCTGACATGAGAGAAAAAATTCCAAGTATTTTTGATTTTTCTATGGTTTATTGGCTACTAATTTCATTCAGATGATAGTTTCCCCAACACACCAGAATCTCAGGAAAAACCTCAAGCTTCCTCTGGAACCTGACTAGGTATCTGGGCAGACCAATCAAATAGGTCCAGCCTTCCTGTGGCAGTCTCACCATGGCAGGGAATGATGACATTTTCCCTCAACTCCAGATCAAATTGCCATTGCCTCAACAGGACAACCAGGTTCAAAGTGTAATCACCATTATATGTCAGGCCCTCAGTGGCCTGGGTCAGGTCCATGACTGCCATGTTGGCCATAAACTCTTCAGCCAACTCTGACTCCACTTCCAGGAAAGGCAAGTTGAAGGCCCTCAAGACCATAAGTATTGGGAACTTCACTGCCAATCCAACCACAGAGTCAAGGATCTTGGGCAGGGAAGTTGCTGCCTAGCAGGAAGGCTGGTACAGCAGCAACAATCTCATCTGATCCACAGAGCCCAATTTAACAGAATCTCACACCCAGTCATCTGTGGAGCCACACCTTTAGCCGCTGCTAGGGTATCGCAGATAATTATAGCTACTCCTCCAATCCCTGCTTTGGTATCTCAGATGATGCTACACCCAACCTCCCACCAGGCATATTTCTGAGAAGGCAACTCCTTCCTCCATGCCCAGCCAAGTCTTGCTAATGCATACCAGGCCAATCCTCTGATCCATGATTAAATCACAGATAAGGGAGGCCTTACTACTTCTAAACCTGGCATTTAGAAGCAGCAACCCAAAGCCTGGGCCTCTGAAGGTTCAATTACCAGGGCTTGAGGATGAGCACAGGGGGCTGGAACCAACTCCAGGTCCATGTTCCCCAGCAGTAGCTGTTTCAAAAATAAAGTTACAAAACTGTTAATAATTATAATCTAGCACTTAGATTTCATGAAGCTCATAATGTTGACATGTAAGATCATCAGTAATGTGTTATTTTAGCTCTTAGATATCTGTTTAAAAGGGACTGTATGAGGTGGGTTGATCTTCCATATAGAATTAGAAGTCCAGCTGGAGAAAATAATTTTTGAATGAATATTTTATTAATCTGAATTTCTTGTATCATAAAGCAAATGTGTGTTCCTTTGCAGCCACACTTTGAATATTTCTATATAGATTGGATAGTTTTAACTGTATTAAAATCATTAAGGCATATATCATTATAAGCGTGAAATTCTGTTCTGTAAGTTAACCCACAGAGTGGAGAAATTAGTTTAAAAGTTAAATGTATTAATGCTTGCCAATTCTTTGGTTTCCTGTTAAAAAACAATGTTG